GTGTGAGCCTCTTGCCTCCCAAGACAAGCCACTCTGTGCCCCTCCTCCCCCCCAGGTGCTCCTGCGCCTTAGTCAACATATCATCCCTCTATATGCCCTTGGAGTGGGGGGGGGGGGAGTTCCACCTCTGCACTACAGGGGGAGAAAGGAGGCTCCCAGAGGAAAGTGAATTGCCGGAGGGTCTGCCTCTGGTGAGGAGGGCAATTGGAGGAGGGGCTGGGACAAGACTCAGGATGCAGCCTCCGGGATTGAAGGGACCGGTACCCCACAGCTGGAGTCTCTCTGGGACTCGGAGGACTGAGCAGGAGATGTTTCTTCCTGCTAATTTTCTGATTCCCTTTCGGCCCTGAGAAGGGGCAGGGACAGGACAGTACTGACTGGCAGGTCAGGGTGCCTCCTTAGGAAGGGTCCCTGGAACAGAGCTGGGGGCCTCCTTTAGGGGTCAGTTCTCCTCCTCGGATGGATGAAGACCGCACGGCGTCCCATCAGCCCCAGGACTCTCTGCATGGCCCACCCTGTCATCTAGCAGCTCTCTTCTCAGGAGTCACAGGCATCAGCTGAGCCAATGGAAGGGCCTTCTTAGCAATTAATATGCACGAGGCACCTACATTACTCAGCTTACCATTTTACCTTCTGAGCGCTGCAATGGTTCTGTGAGGATATGGGGGGAGGAGGACACATTTTTGTTTGCAGAGGAAGAGATTGAGGCTTGGAGAGAATAGAACATGCTCAAGATGAAAACATTGGGAAGTTTCAGAATTGAGATTCAAACCCAGGTCTTCAGATGGCGGATCCAGGACTTTGTCCGTGGGTCCCATAGATTGGGCTGCGCCTGCTCTGCTACTAATTTCTGCTTTTTAAGTAATCGGTGTTCTTCAAAGTGCCGTTTCATCCCCCTTAGCACCTCCAGCAGGTAAGAAAACCAGGTGGAAGAGCCCACAGCCGTGCAGCTCTGAACAGAGCGGGAGAGGCTCATGTGAGACACTTCAGTTCCATTTTTTCTCACATTTTACATATCTAACATTGACATGCATCTTGGGATTAATGGCATCGTACAGCTATACTGGGCAGTACTTTTTCTTAGTGGTACAGGAAACAATGATGTCTTGCACAGTTGATGGTGTCTCAGCTTTGATGAGATCCCGGACTACACTAGGTTTGTAAATTCTCGGTGAGTGTACGCTGTCTCTGGCCCACACAACCCCATGGCCAGTGAGGCATTTCCCGAGTCCGGTCTATGGAATTGTGTTAAGTGCGAGTTTCCAGCAAAATGTCCTGCACCTTTCCTTTCTGCTCCTGCGGCATGCCTACGGGGAGGGCCCTAACTTTGCTGTGCGACCTAAAGCCAGTCCCATACCTCTCTGGGCCTAAGTTTCTTCATCTCTAGGGTATTATATTAGACCGGTAGTTGCCAACCTATAATCACCAAGGATCCCTTTGATTACTTTGTTCCGTGGATCTTACATTTTGAAGGTTTTTGCCTACCATACCCAGTGCATTAAGTAATAATTCATTTCTCATTTTTTATTAATCAAAGGCACATGCTAGTGCCAGGAAGAGGTTCTGAGCAGCATGAAACAGTCCACGTGACCACATCAGGTTGATCTAATTTGTAATCGCTGTAGGCTCTTTATAGAAGTCTGCTCACTATCCATTATCCATTAGGCTTGTCAGCCCCACAGCTGAACATTGGGCCTGGCACCTCCTTAGGGGGCACATTTGGGCTGGACTGGGGACACTTAATCGGTTCGGGGACATAGAGCCCACTGAGAATATGATAAAAAAAAAACTTTGGATGCTTTGCCCGGAGAAATGGCCATCCATTTAAAATAATGCATTCAGATTTGGGTGCTGGCGCCCAGTCTGTACCATGCAGCGAGGCCTCCTCCACCTCTAAGGCAGTGATTCTCAGCCTGGCTGCACAGTCACCTGGGAGCTCTGCAAAACCCCAGCCACACCCCGACCAGGTGAAATCGCTGGGAGTGGGACATGAATATTTTATTAAGTTTCCAGGTGGTTCCAGTTGAGAACCACTCACTGTGTAGATGTCAGATTTAATGGAGGGTCACAGTGTCCTGCCCCTCTCCCCCAGGAGGTGGTGCTGTGCTGAGTCTCACAGACCACATGGCTTCCAGGAAGCTTTGGGCCCCTTAGCCTGGGGGCAGGTGTTGGGAGAGCTTCTGACATTTGTCCAGGACTTGAGCTCCAGCCTGTTCTGGCTGTGTTAGGGCGTTTGCTTTGGTAGGAGCTTTGGTGTAGAAGGTGAAAATATGAGCAGCAGAATTTTCAGTCCAAAGGGATGAAAAGCAAATTATGCAAGAAAGGAAAAAATCCGTGGCTCCCCAGGAAGGAGTGGGGGACTCCGAGACACGCAGCCCCGGGAGAGGAGCAGGGCTGATCGCACTGTGGGAGGGCCGCTCTCGCCCACAGCTTGCCAGTCGCAGAGAGGGCTGGAGCCTGCAGGTCAGCCAGGGGGCAGCAGGGTCAGAAGAAATTAGGAAGTGAGTGAGTCACTGGGGATCCCTCCCTCGCTGGGGCATCACTCTGGCGAAG